CAGCCTTTGATCCAGGATCTAACCTACAAGGCAGCAGGGCGATATGGGTATCACATTCCATTGGGAGCCGGTAACCAAACAAATGGTTCATACGCCTTTAGGACCGCAAAGGATCATGGGCCCAACACACCCTTGAATTACAATACCACTCAGAGAGAGGCAAGGGGCAGTGACTTTATTTAGTGGCGAGTCACATCCGCCACATCACAGTGTTGTTAAAAGGTCGCATGTAGCTTTTTATAGGGAGAACGCTTGTCAGGGGAAAACCCACCACGTCCTGGAACACTACCGTCGAGCCATTTGCTGGAATGGGATAATCCGGAACCACCCATCTGGCACCATGAGGAAGTTGTTCGGCAAGCCCAAATACAACCGCTAGCGCCTCCTTGTCAATTAGGGCGTACTTTCATTCGGCCTGGGATGGGCTCCGGAAGGCAACTGCAACTGGTGTGTTTACTCCGTTGGCTTCAAGTTGTAACAGGTGCCTCCTTCCCCGTATGGTGGTGCATCACGTGTCAACCCTATGTACTTTTCGGAGTCAAGGTAGACTGAAACCGGTGGACTGTCCAACACAATTTTGGCCTGACGGAAAGCCCATTCCTCCGTCTCTGACCACAGCTACGGTGAGCCCTTGTATAACAAAGGAGACAAACGGTGCAGTACAGTGGCTGCTCGCGGAACAAACATTAGTTAGTGATTATACATCCCCAAGAACGACGTCAACCTATTGATTCCTTGTTTGTGATGCCTCAAAAGTAGGTCAACTTTTAGCCCCAAGCCTTTCCAGTCCCTGCACAAATGCGAAAATCCAGATAACCAAAGTACGGTGCCGAGAATACGCATTTTTCACGTTTCAGACGCCAACTAGGTTCTTTCATACGTCCATCCTAAATCGCAGTCTATGGATGTTCGTCATTCATTACCCCGCAACCAGGATGTCGTCTAGGTACACAATGCTCTAGCAGGCCTGTTAGTATGTTCTCTCTCTTTCACCGGAAGATGATCGGAGCTGAACAGATACCGTATGGTAGTCTGTTATACCTGAACAAACCCCGGTGAGTACTGATTGTTGTTATTGTTTTGGCCTCTTCGTGTGGTTCGAACTGCTGACAAGCGTGCGTGAGGTCCAAGGTTGCGAAATATCTGCTGGTATCCAGCTGAGTGTAAACATCCTCAATTTTTAGAAGCTGGCCATTCATTCATTCATTATATACGTTTGCTAGAGGTGTAAAACACCTTAGCTACTGTGCCGCAATACATAAAAGAAACAAAGAAAATAAATGCAACAGTTGCATGCCAGCTGTTACCAGACGGAGTACTGAAATTGACTGTGCTTTTGTAGTCACCGCAGATGCGATCCGCCAAGCCTGTGTACTGGAACAATTGATGTAACCCAATCCAAAAAGAGTACTGGCTCTACGATGCCGCTCTTTTGCAGTCGTTTAAGTTCCTCTTCTACTTCTGATCGCATCAAATACGATAGCAATCGAACCTTGATGAATCATTGTTGTGTGGTAGATGAAATGTAGTTATTAACTTGTTCACCGATGAACTGCACTTCGTCTGGCGTCTCAAAAACTGGTGCTATTTCTGGAGCAGTGTTTGCATATCCGATGGTGAGGAAGTGGGTTTATCTGTAGAACCGGTATCTGCTTGTTCCAGTGGCGGCCCAGTAATTTTGTACTATCTCCGTGTGTGATGTATATGGTTCCTCGGGTTGTCGATCCTCCACATGACACCTCAACGTCATGTGTCCCAGCAGTTTCATTTCCCCACTCGTGTATGTACGCAGTCGCAGGGGCGCCGACACAGCTTGGTGTGACCCGACGGGGAAAAATCTTTGTGACCAAGTTCGTTCGTCGCACAACGTTACTCCACTGCCGGTATCCATTCCTAAATGCACCGGAATCTGGTTAACACCAGATGGTTTTGCGCGTGGGGTAATTGTGTGTGGTTCGGTAACAACACATTTCTTGTCCGCCACCTGGGAAGGTGGTTTTGCACTAGGCCGGCAGACACGGGCCATATGCCCACGTCTTTTTTAGCATTTGTTACAAATTCTCAGTATGTGTACACACTCTGAGATGACCGTTTTAAAAGCCGCAGTGATAATAGCTGAACGATCGTCTCGTGGTTGTATTAAGTTTCTTAGCTTTGACCGGGGAAATCTCCAGCACTTGGGTTTGAATTCAGCCATTAATCATGCTAAAGCTGGGTATTGTTCTCAGTAACTTCCATACCCGTTGTAACCTCATAGGCACTTTCCAACATCAATGCGTTATCAGCCAGCAGCCAGCGCTGAATGTAAGTGTTTTTATGCAAAAAACGAGACGACCCCGGATCATGTCGTTTCGGTAGTTGACGAAATCCCAAAATGCCGTCAACTTCGAAGCTCGGCAATGAAGGAAGTAACTGACTTCCTCTCACCTTGAACTCGGATATTGAACTTAAATTGCCGCTGTATCACTGATCGTTTTGGCTTATAGTGACTAGAGACCAATGTGACTAAATCGTCAAATCATTTGGTGCGGTAACTCCCGAGTCGCCAGGCTGCGAATTAGTTCGCATGTTCGTGTGCTAGGAATACTCAGTAGGCTTGGAGGGGTTTCGGTGTTGTCCCTCCCCACACGGACACCCCACGAACGATTTCTACATCTTTTGGACTCAGCAGGTGGCGACAGCCTGAGCTGGGGTGGAACTCCAGGGTCAGTGGTTCACGGCTGACGCATTGATCACTATGCCACTAAGATTTGTGAGCAACACTTGGCACAGCGGTAAGGAATTCAAAGTTGGATTTGGAGTACTTGCCGTGTGGTTGAATTGCTACACGGAATCTTAATTGAGACCTCGGTCATTCCGATCGTCAGAATCTTATCCGAAGCGGAGAGGTTCGGTTGCTGTTTCCCCCAACACTGACACTCCACTACTCACTAGGATGTTCACCCTGTGGTTGTCGCTGACAATTTCATTCGCGGACAAATGTTATTCAGACTCTCAGTGTTGTGGTTCCAAGAACCGGATCTCTCAAAGCACTCTTCAAATATTCCGATGGAGGCCATGGAGGGTTTAAGCAATCCTTGCCGGCCCGTAGCCTTAAGGATCACAAGTCTGCCTTGTACCTGCGGGTACGGGTTCGAGCCTGCGCAGGGACTGGGCAAACCCCGCAGTATCCTTAGTCCACGTGCGATTGGTAGTGGTTGTGCAGCAGCGAACCGTCGGTACTGCATACCGGCGTACTGCTGCTGCCTATTTTTAATTATTCCTTCAACAACACGATACGCAAATGGACACGATTACACGCGGCCAAACTCATGGGCCGTGTGGTTGGTTGGCGGCATCCGGTTTCGGATTTGCCTGTCACTGTGGCAAGCCACAGGACGCCTGCGCCTACAGAAGGACCATGGGTGGCTTGTGCTGCACCACCCACAGCTCCAACCACACACCCCATATCCAGTGTAAACCCGAAGGAATAAGACCGGGAGGCATGCGGATGGGAACCACGTTTCATCAACGGAGCCGGCCCATACTCCTTCACAGGCAAACACAAGCACGCTGTATTAGGGGAATCAAGTGCACACAAGGCGGTGGCTGGACCGTAGTCCGCTCCACATTGAGTGCATGGAACCGCTCTTCGAACCTAGTACGGCCACAAGGATCGTGCATCCCGTCCCCTCCAGCAACGACCAGCTGTCTCCTGGAGCCAGTATGAACGAGGTAGTGGGTAATAGACAGGCAGGCACCTTGCCAACATACACATCAAGCGCAGCCACACCGGGGATATCAAACAACAGCCATACATTTTAAACGAAAAAATGAAATAAAATATATCCAATAATGCATACAGATACGGCGGCATAACTCTTCGCTAAATTACCATATGAAGTAAGTTGGTTAGCAACGAATCCATGATAAGTAAGAAATGTCCACAAGTTACTTAAAAATGCTACAAACGCAACAAAATTGCGGAAGATAAGCGCAATTAGCGTGAGCAGCGAGGCCAGTTAATAGAACATTATTCAGGTAGACCGAACAAAGCAAATAAAGTGGAATGAAATTTATCCAGCTTAAAAAGAGACCTAGTTTAAGTGTAAGTTGGTTTAGCCCAACTGCGGTGAAGAAGCATCAATAATGCAACATCAGCCTCAGCATGGGTGCCGTGTGGTTACACACATTGTTACAGGCGATAGCAAGTGATAACCAATTACCACACCCAACACTCCTACATGGATTGTAGAAAGTTCGTTTACTCTCTTCTGATCTGTTCACACTGGAATGCATTACCAGCATTTGTGGTGAATGCATCAAACATTGTGACCTTCACAAGTCTATTAAACTTTCAGCTAAGTAATAAACGACACCCAACAGTATAACAAAGTACAATATCTGGATTAGTTATAGCTCACGCTTTAGGCCGAAAAATTTTGATATTCATTTTTGTTTTTTATCACAGCATCCACCATTGAATTATCGAAGTATTCCTTGTCCGCGACACCCTCACGGCTGAGTTAAAACCTAGCAGTGCTTTACGCGGAGATGTATTCCGCTGACGGCAACGTCACAAAACGCAGTGCCATCTAATGAATCCGTCGTAGCCCCACCTGGAAGAAGTATCAAGCCATGCCTAAGTAGAACTTGCGAATTTGATGAAACTTGGGCGAATCTGTTCAACCGAGCCTTCTTTAAAGTAATGCTTCACACTCGAAAAGCAGTCACGTGCAATAACCCATTTCGGTTATCATCGTCATCTGTGCCCAAACGTTTACCACTGCTCTAGCAGTACACCGTGTATGAAAATCACATAGGTCAATGCAGCCACTGGCAGCAGTCACTCGCGGCATCCCCTACCGATCTGTCTGAATACGTTCGAGGGCCTTACCACGGTGTGGTGACTCACTTGGTAAACACTTACTGCAATGAGTCATTGCACAACTGTCATTAGGATGGTGTGTCCACTCCAGTAAAAGGATCTTTAGGTGCTCCTTGCTGCTCTCTTCGCCCAGGAAAACGCCAACCTTGTTCTATTAGAGAAGTTAGAAGATGAAATCAATGAGGATTATTTGTTCGGCGTGAAGAAGGCGATAGTCGATTTCGTTCTCAGGGAATCCGGCGACAAAGTGGTGCCAGGAAAGGACAAGAAAGGGGAATGTGACGCTTTCGACGACGACTGTACTCCGCCCGCTCACCGTAAAGAACTGGAGGTTGTTCCCAAACCGTGGCATCCTTCGTTCGTCTCTGCGGTTCGATTCTGTCAACGACACTTATTCATTACGAATGCTTGCATGCTACAGTTATTGGATCTGTGGCATACCAGTTTTGCGTAAGTCACAATCTTCTCCTCATTTTAATGCGATGACAAAATTTTTAGTCTTTTATGATCCGTCAAGCTTGTGCTGTGCTCAGCTAATTGCTGGCCAGATTAACGCTGGTAACACCATTGGTGCAGTAATTACTCTGGATTTGACTTTCTTGAAGTGTGAAACCCAAATCAGCACTTTGCTTCTAATATACCGTTATCCTGTCGCCTCCCTGATGCGCGTTTATCTTATTCTTATGAATCATCTATGTTTTTGTAGTCCTCACTCTAAATTACTGAATTTCTTACCCGTCCTAAACCATTGTCCCATTGCTAGTTGTGCCCATTGGTTGCCAGCACTAGTCCCAGTGCACTAAACCCGAGCTCACTTGTTCCCATTAGTTGATAGCTCCTGATCCTCGCACATTGACACCATACTATGCCACACACCGCACTTGACCGGATGTCTCAGAACGGTCGACATGGTACTCCAACGGCTGCGTTTCGCTGTGGACGAGACGAACCGGTACTACTCAGCCTTTCTCCTCACTAACCTTTCACTGGGTGTGAACAGTGACGCAGGGCTCTATTCTGATGTAGGGAGCAGGAGCTAATAGGATTAGGTGCACCTGCCTTTCCCTTAACGCATCGAATCCATCTTTTTGGTGCACCTCATGGACACACACGATCAAGGATGCCTTCATGTATGCGAGAGGAAAGATAAGGTTGTAAATAGCTATCGAAAACTGGGATGGAAAAAGCAGTGCACGTGGAAACTGATCATATCAAATTGGGTGCCAACAGTGAAGCGGTGTATTGCGTTGAATGTTCTACATTTCAAGTCACCTGCCCCCAGTCGAACCCGACTGAGTTTGTAAATAATTTCAACGGCTAGACGCCAGAATGAAAGCTGTGAAACGTCATACTGACATATAGGTGTTGATCACCATCGTTTCTTGTTCGTGCAAAAAGTCGAAAAAGTTGAGCAAATGCGTATTTTCCAATCGAACTGCTAAGCGTAACTCGGTAATAATGCGGCTAAGAAGGAGGTGCTTTAGTACTAGTGTTCCACCTAACCGTTCTGAATAGCCCGGATTCTAACCACCCGCACCAGGCTCTCCTAAAAGCGGCACCTGATCGCCGGGAATAGAGGGTTGAACGACGGGATGCGCTAAATCATATGTTGTCTTTCTATTTCTCTCAAACCCACGACCAACGAGATTTCCCTGTTATCCGTTACAGAAGCATGCGCTTGATAGATATTCAAGAACTTTATTCCAAGCCAACGGCGATCGAACTGACAACTTTCCAACAGATATGCAACAAGCACATAGAATCCGCCAAAGAAAGGCTGCTGAAAAAGTAAGTCCTCATGACCGTAATCTTCACAAACTGCTGGTTCGTCACATTGAACGCACTTTGACAATGACTACCAATGGAACAATGGTCTTTAATGGCCTGAGCGAGTTAAAAAAAACCTGTCAGAAAATACACCGTATGTCTAGGGCACAGTGAAAAACTTTAACTAGTTGTTCACCTGCGTTTTGTTATGACAAAACGAATGAGGTCGCTTTTACTTACCTCTTTACATGGTGAGTATGCTACACTGGGAATGCCTACCCGCCGACAGAACAAATTTCAGTAACGTTCTTGCGGGCCGTGTCACGCTGTGATATTCAGCCCGTGTTGTATACGAATCCCCACTTTTGTTGTAACATGGTACTGTTCCGGACTATCCATAAATCACGTCAAGGTCCTATCGGAATGATGGTATTCCGTGCAAAACCATTGCCACCTCTCAATCTCTGGCTTTCGCGTTCGAAACTAGCTTTATGACATCGCTTGGCATACAATCTTGTTCTGCTGAGGACCATGATTAAGAAGTCTGGTGACCAACATCCACAAAGACACCATACGTATTTCTGTTAAAAGCCACCACATCGCTATTCCAAACTAGTGTTAAGTGTTCTCTCATCACAAAGATTCACTACAGATGTCTTTGCTTGTCGTTTCTTACTTTATGGCACACCGCAGCATTCATCATCAGCCTACTAGATCCGGATTTTCCTCTACAACTTCTCTCGGTTAATTCCATCCCTAACGCTTTCAGTCTTAAGGAAATAGGTTTCGTCCATACATCTTTCAGAACCCACGTTAAGGCAAGCAAATATCATCCACCTGGCGCGAACGCACCAAAACACGTTTCGCGTCGGGTGACCAATACCAAATCAACCAATAGCATATCAGACTATTTTACGACATGAGTAGGTTTGGGTGTGGCGCAGATCGCGTGCGACTTGGTGGGTGCCTAGTCGCGCTCGAAACTCGTATTCATGCATGATTGGCTACACTGAAGCTACACACATGCTAGGGGGTATACTCACAAAACTCACGTGGTGTCATATGGGCTTAGCAGTCACGAGTGATCGTGGTGGTTGGCACGTAACCTTTCAGACATTCCCACTTATACGTGAAATATGATTGCGCGGTGTGTCTGCCCATTTCATCGCTGAGCTGTGCGTATACTGCGACGCACCCCGGTGAATGAGTGCGAATGAATTGGCGCTTGGGAATAATGACATGAAGTCGCTCACAAATACCGTTGTCGATGATCGGTTGGCATGGCATTTGGGCTAGTGACACCGCAGGGACGTGGAGAGCGTGTGGACCGCGGTGTGTTTCGGCGTGCCGCATGATCGCTGAGCGCAATGTTGCAAGGTCAACATTTGGTGGATGTAGCGATTCGAATCAGGATGAGTGCGCGCGCAGTGCACATTGGCATCCTTACCGAGGTTTCATGCGCCTATTGCCTTTGTTATGCCGTTGTTCGACTGAGCTTGCTCCTGGGGAATATTTCATATCGTTGCGTCATGGTTCCCATTGCGGTTGCTAAGACATGTAAAGGCCTGAGTTGTTCCTCCAACCGTTCTCACACATGATTTGTATTGTTGTGAAACAGACGGAATGTGGTGTTTTACACAAACAGAAAAAAAGAATTCCGCAACACTCGGGGCGGTTATACTATTCTGCCACTTTCAAGGAATGATCTCAGTTAGGTGTTATTGCTAAAGTGCAGTAAATAGCGGCGCACATGATTTGGTTAAGTCAGAAGAATGCAATCATCAGCAGTTTGTCAGCTAATCAGCAATACCCGTGTTTCCGCCTCTTCATATGGCAAATTACGCGTTCCAGTGACGCACTTGGAAACTCGACATTGAGTCTGCTCCAGATCAGTGACATCGCGCTTCAGTTTTGTTTGTGTTGCTAGAATTGCTTGTTCTACGTGGCGGTTCCCAACATGTAATGCCATTTCTGTTTGCTCAGAACAACCTGTCATCCCGAACCAGTGACGTAGGTCACGTTCAACGATAGAGAACTGTAGGGTCTGCATTTCAAACCTATACATGTAGAAGCTGTGGTATCGTATGCAAAGTATCTTACACGCGAGTAGTCATTCATTCATTCATTATACACATCAGCTAGAGGTGGGAAAACACCTCCGCCATTGTGTCGCAATACATGAAGGAAATACATACATACATATAATACAATACACAAAGGAAAATAGGTACAACAGTTGCATGCCAGCTGAGCTACCAGCAACGGATAGGCATCGTTCCGGTAAGCTTCCATCCAGCTACTAGGCAAAAAGAAAAAAATTTTAATTATGTTTTACCCTAGGAAATGAGATCGTAGTTGGAGGGGGAGGCTAAAAGGGATGGGGAGGGACAAAGAAACTCACAGCACAAACGCCACTGAGGTCGGCTCCTTGCCATGTCAGCAAGTGTATCCAGCCAAACGTGTTCACCGTCTTTTGGACCCCAACCAGGGAACCGTGACGCTCCAACCGAGGCTAGCTCCGAAGCGAGGGACTTCATTCCCCTGGACCAAGTCATCGCTTGGCCATCTCTCCTCTTCTTCCACCCACATCCCCGGTGAGCAAACAACGCACGTCGAGGGAGTCGGTGGGCTGGCATGCGTAACACGTGGCCCAGCCATCGGAGCCTGGTGCGTGAAATAACGGTGCTGAGCGGTTCAGATCCTTTTCCTGGGCCGTAAACAATGCGTCGAACACGCTCGTTACTCACGCGGTGTTCCCACCATATGTGAGCCAAACTGCGAAGGCACCGATGGTCGAAAGTAACTAGCCTCTTCATGTCCGCCGACCTTAGGGGCCAGGTTTCGCAACCGTGCAGTAGGGTCGAACGTACCGCTGCATTGTACACTCTACCCTTCAGGGCGAGAGTGATGTCGCGCCGCCGCCATAGGTGGCGAAGGTTAGCAAAAGCACTTCGAGCTTTCGCTATGTGGTTCGGGATCTCCTCTTCGATCCCAAGGGCGCAGATACAACTTCCCAGGTAATTGAATTTCTGAACGACTTCTAGCAGATCCCCACCAAGGGTCAGGGCAGGAGGCGATCCCTGCCAATCTTGGAGGAATGCTTTGCACTTCGATGGTGCAAAGCAAAGCCCGAAGCGGCTGACAGCCAGTGCTAATCTGTCCAGCGCGGCTTGGCACGTCTGAGAGCTGTCACAGATGAGGGCAATGTCGTCTGCATACTCCAAGTCAAGAAGTCGTTCTCCTGGGAGTAGCTCCACACCTTCCAAGTCATGTCCTGTAAATGCAAACTCCATGACTTCGTCAATAGGGAAGTTGAAGAGGAAAGGTGACAGCGGGCATCCTTGTCTCACACCGCTGGAGATATTAAAGGGTGGCGACAGCTTGCCGTAAGCCCTCACGCTGCCCGTGCTACGCGCATACAATGCTGGGATAATATTTACATATTTCTCGGGCACACCATTCCTGAGTAAACAAGTCCAAAGGGCACATCGATCGACCGAATCGAAGGCACCTTTGATGTCGAGGAACACGACAACGGTGGGCCGCGAATATGTGTGGCGGTGCTCCAACAACTGACGCAAGGTGAAGATGTTGTCGATGCAGCCACGACCACGAGGAAACCAGGCTTGCTCCTCACGAATCTAGCTTTCACGAGCGCCAGTCAGTCTGTGAAGGATTATGGAGGCGAGTAACTTGGAGGCGATGGAGATCAGACTGATTCCTCTATGGTTGCCGCATTCCGAGCGCGAGCCGCCTTTGAAGATGGGAACAATAACGGAGCGGCTCCAGTCGGTTGGGACAGTCTCCTGCTCCCACAGTTTCACTAGTAATTCATGTAAAGCATCAACAAGAGCAGAGCCTCCAAATTTGAAGAGGGCTGGAGGAAGGTCATCTGGTCCCGCGGCTTTGTTCAACTTCAACAGTCCGATCTCACGTTCGACTTCTGAGCGAGAGGGTGGATCCAAAGGGACAGCCCACGGAGCAGGGCGATCAGTGACCGGCGAATCGAACAATTCTAGCCGATTAAATTGTTTTTCAAAATGCTCACCCCAACGCTCCAAATGTTTCGACAAATTTTGGATAGGCTGTCCACTCTCATCACCAATTGTTTCACTCACACCAGGGCTCCCGCTGCCCGTTTCCCGTATCAGACGATGGTTGCCAAGGGCAGCGGCCACTTCCATCTCTGACGCACGATGAGACCACCAAGATTCGCGGTCTCTCTTCAGGCTAGCACGGAGTTTTGCCCGGAGCTCTTTGCAAGTTTCATTGTGCTCGCATTCAGCCGGGATATGCCGGCGAGCGTCGATAAGTTCCAGAGACCAAGAAGAGACCCAATGTCCATATTGGCTTTTAGACATACCACATGAGGATTTGCCTGCTGCTAGTAAGGTCTGGTGAACATGTGACCAGTGACCATCAATTGTCTCCAGTGAGCGATTACTCAACTCGCAACGCGAGTAGTCACCCTACATACGAGAATTGAATCCTTCAGATGTGCACCTGTCGAACGGGTTTCGAACTGTTGGAGAAATAAGCGTTGTTATCATCAATAAATCGTAGTATGTCACGAAGGTGGAAACTGATCTCGTAAGTGTAGGCAAGTCATAGACTGATACGACACAGTACAACAGCGATATAGCGGAGAAACAAATCTTATCGCGGCGCGACTGCGCTTTATCTTGATGCGATGGTTTGCCTACATTCGTGACCTATTGAGTTTCGCTCGGTGGCACTTTCTAGGTGTCATCAGGACTGCTCATACCAAACATGTCAATAGTTAGGGGCCTGATGAACTCAGTCGCACCATCCTCTCCGAGAGTTGCTAGAGGTTCATGGTCCTCTTCCCTTAGAACAGCCACAGGAGACAACAGGTTTTAGAGTATCTCACAGCTTGATTGGCGTGAAGCACGAGTGCCACGCATTATCTATGATCGTGGGAGTGTACCACGTGATGCTTAATGGGTTGCTACCTCCCGCGTGAATCCAGGCAACTCCTGGTGAAATAGGTGCAAACCAGC